CATAGTCCCAAATAGTTCTTGTCTGCCCTTTATCCCTGAGACACTAGGCCCACAGCCAGATTATGCAAACTGGTCATTCTTGCTTAGTGCCTGGAACATCGTCCCTTACCCCATGTACCCTGCACTTTCATCTCACTCATCACCTTCCTTCAAAACAGATTTGGGGTACACTCCCAGCCTCTGCCTTGGCCACTTCCCTCCTATGGCCAGTCTTTGCCTCTCCCCACACACACCTGGCACCAGCCTACACACCAAGCCACTCTTTGGCTCTGACCTTCAACTTGGCCCCTCTTACAGCTAGAGATGCAAAATCCTGTTGAATTATATAACCAGTTAAATGGGGCAGTAGGAGCATGGAGTGGCCCGCCCGGCCACAGACTGGGCCCATTGCAGACCGGAGCTGGAATACCCCTACCTGTGGTACAGATGGGCCGAATCCACCAAGGAGGGGGCTGCTCTGGCCCTCACTATTAACTGAAACCAGTAAGCCACACCCATTCACACCCCTATTTACAATCTTGACATTTCTCCCTTCATCTCCAGTTGAGGCCAGCCTTAGAAAACTAAATCTCTCAGCAGACTGGGATGAACATGGCTTTTCTGCTGTTAGTCTTGAAAGAAATCAGTTTTTAAATCTTGAGTGCAAAAATCCATGGAGCTGCTCAGACTCCCCTTTGTGACCCTGATGCACGACAGTGGAGGAGGTAACCCCAGTGAGGCCCCAGGAGGTTCAGAAGAAGGGTTTGCATTTCCCTTACAATGTGCTGAGGCTGGGGGGGGGGAATTGAAATTAGCATCTCACAGACCTACTTGTCTGGCACTCGATCCCCAGGGCCTTTCAGAGTTACTCTATGTGCAGCCCCTGAAAGGTGAGGTGAGAACAGTGCAGGGATGGCACCAATGCCAGTCACTTTGCTGAGTGAGTGATGAGGCCAAGGCAGATTTACCAACTCCATTTCATCCCGCTCCAGAGGCAGCTCAGCAGGAGCTTGTAGTGAGGGAAAATCGCAGAAAATAAAACTGAATCTGAACCAAGCCAGCATGGAAAAGAAATGTTTTTGCAAATTGCAAACTGGAACACTCTGGAACTTAACCTGTGGGCCTCATTGCCCTCTGGCCCCTTCACACAAGGGTATAAGACCAGAGTAGCTGGTGTGGTAGAAGTGGCCAAGTTGCTGGCCTGCTTACCTCATGACAGAGTTGGTGCTAAGCTGTTGGGAGGGAGAAGGGTGTATGCAAATATGAAGCTGATGAAAGAAAGGATGTAGTTAACACAAATGATGAATCTGTGGTACTCACTGCTACAGGGGAATAGTGAGACCAAGAACTTAGGCTTCCCAAAGCACCAGGTGAGCATCATGAAGCCACCCACAACTATAGCTGATGAAATAACATGTATGGCATATAAACCTCCTGCTTCTGGGATAAACCAACCACTACCTAATGGGATTTAGAAGATGTTTCCCATGTAGGCAGGGAGTTGTGTAATTGTCCATCATGAGGGTTTCTCATATCTTCCCCTGAAGCATCTATTCACACTCTGCCTGATTAGAAGTAGACAGAGCACTACCAGGCTTCTCTACTCTGGCAAGACGTACATGCTGTGTTCCTGATCACTGGGGTGCATGTATTGCTAAGCCTTGGCCCTGCTGCTGAGTAGGCTCAGCCACCAGTGCCTAGAGCCTGAAATTGTGCTTTAATAGGCTGAGTGTTGGACAATCCACCCTCTCACACTCACCGCCTTTGTCTAGCTAAGGGAAAATACCATTTATTTGATTTCGATTTCACAGCTGCTGCAGCCAGGGCTGCTGAGGGGAAACAGCTGATCTCCCAGCCTCTGGGCACAGTTTATAGACACGGGTAATCATTCTGGAGTAATTACTATCTCACTCCCTCAGAGGAATTCACTGGTGAGAAGTCACTGGGAGCTAATTACTCTGTGTGTGTCTCTCTCTCTCACACACACACACACACACACACCACTTGCTGCAAAAGCTTCCTCCCCCTGCTTCTGTCACCAAGGAGTACGCTCCCATCCTTGGATCACAGCCCTATTGCGGGCTGCTCACCTTTCCTATTGTCAGCTGCTCTGGATCTAAGATCCTAGCCCTGCTATTTTCACTATCCAGCAGCTAGAGCTTTTTATAACACCTATCATTGCCCTGACTGGACAATAAAACAAATTCTACCTGCATACTACATTGCTCCTTATGAACCATGCCAGTTGAATGACCCTCCCTTCGCTCTGAGTTAGACTGAATCAATGCAGGATCTGTAGTGTTAGGGAGCTTGGGGGTGGGGAGGATTGAGATGATGCAGTGCTGGTGTCATGTGGGGGGGGGGGAGAAAGAGGAACAAGTGCTGCTGCAGCCCTTTCTCTACAACCCCAGCTATCCCCACAGGTGTCAGCTTCTCAAGTTGGGGGGCTCCCATACCAGAATCAGGCCCCCCAGGGGTTGGGTGCCAGCAGGAGTCAGATCCTAGGTGGGCAGGCCCTTGCTACCAGTGTGATCTAGGCTAAGGACTACAATAGATTGAAATGGGGGTGGAGGAAGGGTTTGCATCCCAGCAGCCAAGGAGCAGGGAAGTTGAGGGGGAATGCTGCCCCTCCACATCAGGGAAGAGAAGGGGCTTTCAGCACAAGAGTGGGAGATTTAGTTGGACCTCTACTACTTCTCTTATTTTAACCCCTGATGTGGGGCTCATTTCAGTCCCACCTGGGATAGTCCTGTTGAGTCCCTGGTGTTCCTAGTGGAGGCATCCCCCTCAGGGTTAAGTCCTAACAAACTGCCTACTAGACACAGGGGCTGTGTCTAGACTGCACCCCTTTTGCGGAAAAGGGATGCAGATTAGACAGCGCAATTGCAAATGAAACGGGGATTTAAATCTCCCCTGCTGCTGCTTTTTTCTGGCTCGGGGCTTTGCCAGCAAAAAGCGCCAGTCTAGACGGGGATCTTTCGGAAAATAAAGCCTTTTCCGAAAGATCCCTTATTCCTGATTTTAAGAGGAATAAGGGATCTTTCGGAAAAGGCTTTATTTTCCGAAAGATCCCCGTCTAGACTGGCGCTTTTTGCTGGCAAAGCCCCGAGCCAGAAAAAAGCAGCAGCCATGTTCATGCAAATGAAGCGGGGGAGATTTAAATCCCCGTTTCATTTGCAATTGTGCTGTGTCTAATCTGCATCCCTTTTCCGCAAAAGGGGTGCAGTCTAGACACAGCCAGGCTGTCTGGGCCTGTGGGAGCCAGCACCCCAGACTGCTGCACAAGGCTGCTAGCCCCTCTTCCCTGAAGCTGAGATTCCTCTCACTGCGTGCACAGGACACAGAGGCAAAGTGAAGTAGAGGGTAACAAAAGCACAGAGCTCCAAGAGGAAGAAGGCCTCTGTTTCCCCACTGGAGGGAAGAAGAGTTAACTTCCCTAGTAGCAAAGAGAGGACTGGCCTATGGGGGAATAGTGCATTTTAAAAACTCTGCACTTCCCTAGTCTTCCTTTACCAGAGCACCACCTGCAGGCTGTGAGCCCCCTTCACCACTCAGAAGGAATGAGCAGATCTATCCCCACAGGCATAGTACATTACATCCTTTGTTTTTGAAAAGATCAGTTCTCAGACAGACACTTGCTGTGATGTTAGAAATAGCATTCAGTTGCATGAGCCTGATCTGGCTTCCAGTGCCATCAGTATAAAGACCCCGTTGTTCTGAATATAGACCAGACTGGGGCCTAGGGCACTGGTTTGGATCTGGCCCAGCTCAGCAATAACTGACAAGTGTTAGCCCGTTCCCTGTGCTGTAGAGAGCGATCCCCTCTGCTAGTGATTATCATCCATGCTAACTGTTCACTGAGTTCAGATTATTTCCTCATGAAATTACAGCAGGGAGGGGAAGGAGGCCTGAAGTCCCAGCCTCCCCCTTAGAAGTGATACCACAGGCTCAGGGCAGACAGGAGAAAGTTTTGTATAGCTGCTGCCTGTCTGGGACCTTGGAGGGGTGGGGAGAAAGAGACAGACTGTTACCCTGCAGGGGCGCCTATTGGGCCTAGCTTTCCCCTAAAAATAACAAGAGGATAACAACGCTCACTGAGACATTTGAGTCACACACAAAAACGAGGTGAGAGAAGAGACATACCACACAGGGCTGGGAGGGGAAGGGTTTTTATTGATTTACATTTCTACAGGTTGCACATGCACATTCAGCCCTGCTGTAGCATGGGGCTCTGCTGCTCAGTCATGAGATGCCCTCCTCCCTTACTCTCAGTTCATTAGGTGCAGTGAAAGTAGAGTCCCCTCCTCCCCACAGTGGCTCCTGGTGTAGTCTCTCTACCTCTGCCAGTGGGGCTTCCCACCAGACTCCTGTGAAAAAGATGCTCCTGAAGAGCAGGAGCATAAGGCACATGCTCACTGGGACTGCAGAGAAGCAAGGTCATTTGCTAATAAGGCAGGGGACACAGGGAAGTTATTATCCAGAGCCTGCAAATGACAGCAAGTCACAGGCTTGAAGGGGTCAAAGCCAACAGGTCCCTGTTTAGCTGAAGAGCTACACATGATCATTCCCAGAGGGGAAGGGCAGACAGAAAGAAACAGGAACACAACCCCCTCACCTAACAAGGAATGAGAGGAGGTCTTGTCTCCTGAGACTACAGGCAGGGCAATGTCTGATCAGGGACGCCACAGAGTCACTAGGCCTCTGGAATTCACAGAACTCAGATCATGTCAGTGCTGTCCCTGAGCTAAACCGCTCCTCAAACTCCACCCGTGTTCTTAAGACAAGGAGGAATGCACCAAAGCACTGTAGCCTGTAGGGTACCCCCACCTAAGGCGGGGCTGTTAGGAAATCTTCCTATGGACACCATGCCTGGGATGGTCTCAGCACCATCTCTTGGAGCCTGAGAAAGAATGAGCTTGGTGTCCTTGGTGTGCCAGGCGCATGATAGACTTCAGGTTTGACAGTGACTGGGCAGATGAGCCCACAAATCCCATACATAGCATTCAGAACAGAAGCCTGCAGTTTGTCAGCCCATAACTTAAGGGCATTTATTCCCATAGTACCTACAGGAACATTTCAGAGTCCCATATCCCTCCTTTTCCCCTATTCCACCACCCTGCATCCCAGGCTAAGCATCAAGAGAAGGAAGTCCCCCTTCTGACTTTTTGGGGCATCTTGGCCACCCAGAAACAAATCCAACACAAATCAGAGCTCTCATTCCACTCCTCCCGCCTCCAGGGACTGGCAACAGGCAGGCCTGGCCCCTGTACTCTGAGACCAGATTTAGTCAAAACAGAAGAGAAACCAAAATAAGAGAAAAAACAAAGACAAAGAGAGCTGAATTGCAGCTCACAAATGCTGCCCTACCGCCTGGAGAGCAGAGAGCAGGTTCCAGCAGGCAGCCCGCCCTCAGGCATCCACTAGTGTCAGTCCATCGTGCAGGGCACGCTTCCACATGTAGTAGGTGGAACGTGCCGTGAGGGGGAAGTGGGCACTGAACTCTTTGTAGGTTGGGAAGGTCTTCGATTCAAAGCGCTGCTGCAGGAACAGCTTGGCCTGAGCTTTGAACTGGGCAGTGGCAATCACATCCATCACGAACATCCGGCTGTGGGCTCTTTCCGACATGGCATAGCCAGAGATTGTTGCATTGTAGGGGGTGACAGATGCCTGCTTGTCTAGATGCCTAGGTGCCACTTCCATTTGGGATCGTGGCTTGATCCCAGGCTCTGCTTTTCCAGGAGCCTCAGAGATGACCTGACTCAGCTGTTGGGATGAGCTGGTCCGGAGAGGCTGCTTGTTCATCTGTTGGCTGCTTTTCTTCCAGAACCAATAGGCTGTAGAGGAGAAGCCAGGGTAGCGGAGGCGGAACTTACAGAATGGCAGCCGCCATTGCTGGACATGCCTCTTGGCTATGTCACGAAGCTGCTTTCTCCAGTTATAGACTGAGGGTTTGAGCTGAAGGAGACTTCTGGACTCTGAGCGGTGTCCGTTCAGCATTTTCCTGCCAGACAGATTTCCAGGCTTGAATGGCAGGTACACCTTACTTTTCACTAGGGGCTTCTGGCTGACTGAAGGAGCCTGAGGGGGTTTGAAGTTGGGATTCCCCTTAATGGCTTTTCTCCGCCAGTTGTAGTAGGTGGACCTGGAGATACCAGGGAAGCTGCGCTTGAAGCACCTGTAGGGTACCAGAGTGTTCATGGAGATGCATTTCTCCAGGTATGACTTGGCTCCTTGCATGAAGATTCCTGCTTGGCTGGGCTCCAAGGGAGGGATCTTTGGCCTTAGGCTACCCTCTGACTTTGCTGCATCATCCTTGTCTGGGTTGGGCTTTTTTTGATGGTCTCCATGAGGCTCCTGTGACCTCGGAGTCTCAGCTGGAGCAGAGGTGTCACCACCATTGACCATGCTCTGCATCTCGTGCTTCCAAGCATAGTAAGTGGAGCGGGAGATTTCTGGGAACATTTGTCGGAAGTGCTGAAGAGGGATCACATTGCCTTCTTGGAAGCAAGACTGCAGGAAGTGTTTGGCTGCAAACCTGGTAGCTGCTTTCTGCCTGTGTTCCCGGGACTGGCGCTTCCAGCGGTAGAAGGTGCTCTTAGTGATGCTGTACTTGTCACACAGATTAAAGTAGGTCAGCCGGGGGTCACTCTTCAGCAACTCCAGAGTCTGGACTGGCTGGACTGGAGGCTCTGGAGAAGGGCTTGCAGGTTCCAGCTCTTCCAGGCCTACCACAGCTACAAAGTACTGTGCTTTGAAGACCTGTGAGGAGAGCTGCTGGCCTGACCACATGATGTGAAGCGTGGAGGTCTGTGGGCCACACTTCCTGGGCCGGATGAGGCGGTTGAAATATGGCCGGATCTTCAAGTTGCTCATGGGGTAGATGGAGTAGATGTTACATTGCAGCACTGAGGCCAGGGCATAGACATGCCACATGTTAGCAAAGGTGCCAGGGAAACAAGTAGCCTTGATGTCAGCATCAAAAATGGCTTCAAGGATAGCCAAAGGCAGGCTGGTCATCTCGGGGGACTCCTCAGTGCAGAGAGAGTAGCGGGCAGCCTGCAGCATCACCTTGGAGTCAATCATGCCATTCAGGTAGTAATGCTTGTGCAGCAGCATCTCCACAACTGTGCGCACCTGCAGCTCCAGACTCAGGCTGGGGTTGCCCCACAGCAACACACTGGCTGCCTCAAACAGGTGGTTCCCCTCCCCCTTGCACACCAGGGGCAGCATGTTGCTGGGGGCGTCCTCTGGATACAGGCTTCTTGCTACCCGGTCAATTTCCAGCTCTTCCTGGAACTGCCTCCCACAGTAGCTGGGGAGTGAGAAAGAGGACAAGGTCCTCTCAGCCTCTAGGGCTGCACTGGTTAATCCCTCTAGCCCAAAGCATTCAGTGGCCTCTTGCAGCTCCTGCAGCACAGACTGCACCAGCTGGTGCCGCTGGATCATCCTGCAAGACACAAGAGTTCAAACCATGTAAGCTCCAGCTCTGCAGAGGAGACCATGCCTCCCAATGCCCACCCCACCTGCAAGTAGGCACCCTTGCTTTCAGTCCTCCAGATTCAAAAGGAGGAATCCTGGTCTTGAACCACAAACATGGGCAAGGGATACATCTTGTGTTGCTCTCAAGCGACCTCTTCTGGCCGATGTATAAATGGCACAGATGGCCTCCCGAGAGAGGACAGGCTGGCCAGAGCGATTTGCCGCAAGGTGTAGGAGAGTGCAGCTTGAGGGTCGGAGGTAAGGCTGCACCAGCAGGGGCTGCTGCAGGCCAGGAGTATAATGCATAGGCAGAGCTGAGAAGAGGGAAAGTTTATACCTGGTCTGTTCTGTGCCTGGCTTTGTGCCTAGTATGGGCCTGAGCATAACATTTACCCCAGATGGTAAAACCTGGGAATCTCAAAGGGCAAAAAGGTGAATTTGTTTCATTACCCAATAACAGCACCTGGAGAGAGGAATGGGAATGGCCACTCCCTTCTGCCATCAGCTTTCCTGTGAAAAATCAGTGTTAGAAAGCAACACTCTTCTAAAGTCCTGTGTGCAGAGACAGAGCCCATTCTCAGGGAGCTTTCAGCCTGCCCATAAGAGGGACAGTATAGTCCAGAGAGATCCCTTGCTTGGCCAGCTGCAGGAGCAAAGCCTATTCACAGCCAGGATCATGGTGTCAGAGCAACAAATCTCTCAATACCCATCCTGGAAAGTCTGTACCCTGATAGTGTAATACAGTGGTTCCCAACCACAGGTCCACAAACAGGTGGCAGGCTGTGAACACTTGCCTGCTGGGCCATGGCACTCTGTTGGGCCGTGCCCCCAGCCGTGTGCTGAGGTTGAAGCCGGGCCACGCTGAGACTACTGGGATGTCCCTACTGGGGCAGCCTCACAGGACCGGCCAAAGGGTGTGCAGGTCCCAAGGCAGCTGAGCCGCATGGCCCCCTGCCGGGTGGGTGGAGCTGGGCAGTGCAGGGCCCTGAATGCGTGAAGCCACAGGGTTCTGAATGCTCAGGGCCCAAGGCGACCATCTCATGGCAGCCACATAACCTGGCCAGCAGGGCTGTATGGCAGGTAGCTGCTGCATGTGCCATGGCTGGAGCCGGGCCATGGTGAGGCTGTCCCTACTGGGGCAACCTCACCACAGCCCCGGTTCCAATTCCATGGCAGACACATGGCCTTGCATGGCTGCTCTGAGGAGTGGGCCTGCTCCTGAGGTGGTCAGCCTGCATGGCCAAGTGGGGCTGCTCTGGGGCAGCTGAGCGATGTGGCGGACCAAGGATCCTCTGGGGCAGCTCCAGGGGCATCCAACCAGCATGGTGGAGCAGGGCTCCTCCCGGGATGGCTGTGTCCCTCAGGGCTGGCTTAGAGACCCTCTGGCAAGCGCCTTGGCTGGGGCTGAGCAGGGGCCACCACTACCAGGCGGCTGGGATCGGGTGAGGGAACATGGCGGGAGAGGCCCTCTGAGTCAGTCAGAACCGCACCACTTTCAGCCTAGCCTCTCCCCAGCGTGGTCCTCCTTTTCTTTCCTTCTCTTTCTTCCCCTTGGCCACAGCCCAGCCCCCTCCTTCTAACCTGCCTGCTGTACTCTTGCTTCTCTCAAAAAATTAGTGAAAACCAGAACTACTCTGCAAAGCATGCCATCTGTTTAATGATGTGCAATTTTGATCTTCCCATCCACACAATGACATGTATTGTGTGCGCACAGACACAATGTAAAACACCACTTGACAACCACACCACATGACAACGAGCTGTTTTTGTGCAAAAAGAGGTTTTTGTGCAAAACTGCTACGGCCACACTGCTTGTTTTTACACAAAAACTCCTTATGCAAAAACAGCTCAGAATAGATTATGCAAATGAAGTGTGACAAAATGCTAATCAGCGCTTCATTTGCATTGCCTCTTCCAGCAAAAGCCATAGTGTAGACATGATTCCTAACATTCAGGCTATTAGGACAGAATGTATCATAAAACAAAAATTATTACAGCGCCGCTACATAATTCCATGGCATACCCACATCATGAGTGCTGTGTCGATCACATCTCTTCAAGTGTGAGTGTCTTAGGCTGAACATATTGCCAGGATTATGTTGCTTACAATTTTCATCACATTGCGCAGGTGGAAATGAGTTCTCAGCAGTTTCCCCGTTCTGGAGCCCCTCCTGCAGGACTAGGACAAGCACCACCCCCAATTTCAAACAGTGATTTCTAAAGCCAGAAATGTCTGCTATTTTGGCATCCAGGAAACAATTTCACCATTCACACTAATACAGGTGTTCATGTGTAGTGTATCAATGTGTTATTAAATAATAACTGAATAAAATAATATTAAATAAATAATTAAAAACAACATCCATGTTTTGATTGTTTTTTATTTGGACCTCAAGTGTGTAGTCGGCCCCCGAACTGCTGTTTGATAGTTAATGCGGCCCTCGGGCTGAAAAGTTTGGAGACCCCTGTAATAAAGAATTGGAAAAAGTGCAAAGAAAGGCAACAAAACTGATTAGAGATATGGAACAGCTTCTATATAAGGAGAAATTAAAAAAAACAGACTTCAGCTTCGAAGAGAAAAGACTCAGACATATATGGCAGAGGTCTCTACTATCATGAATGATGTGGAGAAACGGAACAAAGTAGTATAATTTTCCCCTTTACATAACACAAGAACTAGGGGTTACCCAACAAAATAGTAGACTGTAGGCTTAAAACAAAATTTTTCACACAATGCATAGTCAACCTGTGGAACTCTTTGCCAGGGGACACTGTCAAGGCCAGACCTATAAGAGGGTTAAAAATAAATGAGCTAGTTCATGGAGGATGAGTCCATCAATGGCGGTTAGCCAGGTGGTGGGGGAGGGGAAGGTGCATCCAGTGTTCCCTCTAAGATTTTCCATCCATGAGCGGACCGAGTTTTGTCTTGTGCACCAATATTGAGGTCATGTGCGCTTGTCTGGATGTGTGCCACTGTGGCACCCACCAGTTACTAACAAATATATTAATGTGTTATGGAAGAAAGAATACTAAAGCAGCCCTTTCCCAGTAACAAAGAATAAAACGAGCTGCTAAATCAGGACTTTCACCCACACATTTTTATCATTATGGCTGATCCTAACTGCCAATGTGCTGTATTTGTCCCACAATCTTCTTATTAATCACCCCTGCACAAATACAAAAGGCCTTACAGTCATTCTGAAGGAAATGGGTGCTTCCTAACAAATGAGCCTAAAAATAATGAATTGTGATGGTTGCAGCAGGTACAAGAACAATCCCATTTAAACTGTTTAACTATAAAAAAAAGTGTAGTTAAGATCAGATGGCTGAAACATGGAAGGAAAAGATGGAACTAAACATTGCTAAAATACAGAAGTTATCAAAGCCCAGGCCAAAAGAGATCTCAGCTGAAAAACAAACAAACTTTAGTCAAAGATTAAATATAAAAATGAATAGCAGTTTAGAAACGCAAGCAACTTACATGAGTCATTTGTTCAGAATTTGCAATTTACACATGCTCTTTGAAAGTCTAAAATCATTTTCAAAAGTAAAATAGTTCAAAACTTCAGCTACTAAAAGATAAGCCAAGAAAATTTAAATATTTAGTCGCTCATTATGAGCATAGCAAGACCTCAAATTTTCAAACACTTTAATATTTTATATATCAGCTTTTTAAAAAATCCACTAAAATCCATTTAAATATTTTATTCAAGGTTGCAAAACTGACAGCTACTCTTTGACAGTGAACATCGACTGACAACCTTAACTTTAACTTAGTCATCTGAAGAAGTGGGTTTTTGCCCATGAAAGCTCGGGATACCATCTACATATTTTGTTAGTCTTTAAGGTGCTATTAGACTATTTGTTATTTAAGTTTTTCCTGCTACAGACTAACTGGGGTTCCCCTCTGAACTTTTAACTTTGTTAGTTAACTCTTCAAGTGTCCTGATGCTTTCACAAAGTTAAACTTTTTTTCTTTAAGTGATTAATATTAAACATAAAATAAGTGAAAATAAAAAGAGAAACCCAAAATAAATATCCTAACTCCCTCTGTCAATAACAAATAAAAAATATAATTAAAGTAAAAATTTAAAAATAAGTATAGGTATTCATATAAAATACAAAAAATAATACCTCTTACTTCAAATCTTTTAAAAGCTCTAAAAAGACAACCAGCTGGGTGGTTTAAAAACAAAAACCAACCTAGCACACACACAATCAATACAAAACAATAAAGCCCAACTATTAATCTCCTATTCAAAATAGGGATGCGAATGGTTAACATCACCCTTACTGGGTGATGCTTACTACTTATGGTCAACTGGTGTGAGGCCTGACACTTCAGGCTGGGATGTGCCACATCCCGGCGGGAACAACTTCCACCCCCCCCTGCCACATAACCTCTGGCTCTGGCCCCACTGACTCTGGCCCCACTCAGGGCCACACTGCCTATCACGTGGCTTCCAGCTCTGGCTGCCAGAGCAGCTGCCTCCTGTAGTACAGCTTGGGCTCTGACTCCAGCCAGGGCCACCAAAGGAGCAGCGGTCCACAAGGTGGCCCACACCACCAGCCCTGGAGCTAGGTGGCTTCCCTGCTGCTCCTGGGGCAGGGCAGCCACCCAGCACAAGGCCCCACTCCAGAGCAGCAGAGCACGGCTCTTCTGAGCTAGACAGGAGGTTCATTTCTGGTGTGTGCCCACACAGGTGCGCTCCTTAGAGGGAAGCCTGGATGCATCCCTAGTCACTGTTTGCCAGAAGATAGGAGTGGATGACAGGGATAGATCACTTGATTCCCTGTTCTGTTCATTCCCTCTGAAGCACCTGGCATTGGCCGCTATCTGAAGACAGGATACGGAGCTGGATGGATGGTTGGTCTCAGATTGTGAGCTCTTCAGCATACGGCCTTCTTTTAGGACTAGAATGAACCTAGCATACCTCAGGAAGGACTGAAAATCACCATCAGCATTTTCCAAGGGGACAACAGGCAAGAGGGCTGATGCAGTAATGTGACAAAGCCCTACAACTGGGAGTCAGATTTGCCCTTAAATGCTGCTACAGCTGGATCTGGATTTGCCATTTAGGCCCAAGGTTACATTTTTAGTCTCATCAAGGCTGTCAGAGGTGTTTTATGAAGCACCATTCAGACAGGCCACATGCCTGGGTCATCTGTTTTCATAAGCCCTGACTCAATAAGTGCTTCAAGTCTGAAGCATCCATGGAAAAAAGTTAGCGGGTGCACTCACTGGCAGCAAGCACCTCTCCCTCCCTCTCACCACCACCACCACTGGATGGCCCTGTCATTGACTCCTCTTCCTCACAGCACCTCCAACCCACTTGATCAGCTGAGGGGGAGGAGCAGAGCCAGGGTGTGTTCAGGGGAAGGGCCACAGTAGGGTTGGGAAGAGACCGGGTGTGAGTAAAGCGGGACCAGGAAGAGGCCGGGCAAGAGTTTGAGTGAAAGGGGTGAAGTGCAGGCAGAGGCTGGGGTGAGATGGAGCTGGGGTGGAGCAATCCCAGGTCAAGAGGGAAGCTGGCACCAGTGCCTGATTTAACCACCCCACCACTTCTCCTTAGCTTGGTTGGTTTGTTAGGAGAGCAAGATTTGCTTGTGTTACTCAGGAGGGACTTGCATAAGGGGTTTATTGACACACTCCTACAATGGGTAGCACAGCCCATCTCACTCCAGCAGGCCTGCCACTGCATCCTCCACTCCCTATCTTGACAGCGAGGTGGTCATTTAAGTGAACGTGCTGCCCCCATACTACTCCCAGCTCAAGGAGTAAGAGACTAAAGATGCTCTCATAGACATCGCTCAATGTGGGGGCCATGAACAGCCTTTCTTCCTTTATGATGAGATAGGAGGGGCTTCCCAAACCTTTTCCTCTAGCAATCCAGTGTGGAGGAGGTGGTTGGGGGAGAACCACCACTTTAACACTCCTTCTCCCACACCACTTCCAACTCCTATAGCTGACAGCCCCCCAAATGCCAGACCCCTTATTTCAGGCAGCAGAGGGACCTGACAGGGCTGGGCTGTGGAGTGGGGCTTTCAGCTGCCACAACTTAGGTGCTAGATTTGAAACAACAGGCTTGGTTTCACCCACGCAATAGTAGCTATACGCAAAACAAGCTCCCAGCACCCACCACCTACGGCTAGAAGTGGCCAGCTCTCCTCCTTGGAGTCTAGCCCCAAAGCCCGACTCCTTGGCCACTTAGACTACAAGCCTCTTTCGAAAGAGGCTTTTTCGAAAGAGATTGGCTAGACAGCAACCAGTATTTTCGAAAGAGACGCTTTTTCGAAAGCGAGCACCCAGGCAGTCTGGATGCTCTCTTTTGAAAAAGCACTATTTGTGTTCAATAATGCCTTTTTTTGAAAGAGCACTATCAAAAAAAGGCATTATTCCTCATAAAATGAAGTTTTCCGTGGTAGGAAAAACTGCTGTTTTCTTTCGATTTAATTTTGAAAGTACGTGGCAGCAGTCTAGACACAGGCGAAGTTTTCAAAAAAAGACCACTTTAAGAAAAAAAACCTGTAGTCTAGACACACCCTTAGCTAAGGCTGCCAACAAAGAGGCTACTTGTGATTTGGACCCCTCTCCTCTAGGTACTTCACTTCAGTCACAGGCTCATTTCACATAGTGCCAGTTGGCTGGGCATCCCAGGTATACATCACCACTGCCCAACATCACATTTAAACTCATACATAGAGGTGAGGCTTTGTAACACATTCCTCAAATCCTGGAGCCCAGATACCCAACAGGAGAAACTGACACAAAAGCCTGTGATGTGGCCACCAGGGAGGTCCAGTAGCATAGTGAGAAGCCCAGTCCACAGTTGTTGGGATAGAGGAGCCTGCAGGAATTCCCACTAGGATGCTACCCCTGAACCCTGGTCAGGGGCTGTAGCTTTTATGAGTCTCTGGCCAGTAGGTTTCACATGAACTTGAAGCCACTGCCACTCCTTTGCAGCAGAAAGAAAAGCAGCTGTTTCTTCTCCACCCCATAAAAAGCTATGTGGGGAAGGATCTACTATTCCACCCTTCCCTAAAAACCTCCTGGCTGCTGAGAGAGAGAGGAATCTTTCCTTTTCTATTCAGAGCTGGATTAAGACACAGACACAATAAGAATGTGCCTAGATTCGCCTCCCTGTTAATCACATGACCGCAACAGACTTCTCAGCTTTCATTTCAAAGGCAAAAATAACATTTTCCTCCCTTACAGTTACAGAGAGAAGTTTGAAAACATAAATGTAAAGGGCTTGTCTACACTAGGCAGCTTTATCATTTTAAGGGTAGCAGGATAGTTAAAGCAAGAAACAAAACAATCTCCATGTGAATAGTTATACTGGCATAAAAACATGTAAGCCTGTATAGCTTCCAATTTGGAAGGGAAATACAACTTTTACCAGTAACTGCATTCACACTAGTCCTTAAATTAGTATAAGCATAATAGATATAAAAAAGTTATATCTCCTAACCATAACACTGATATAAATTGTCTAGTGCAGACTAAAGCTGATAGTTATGTATGACTCAGACTTTGTTTGGGGGGTGAGAATGGAATGTGGGTCCTTAGGCTTTAACTATCCCAGTAAAGCGACAAAACTTTCTAGTGTAGACAAGATGAGGCCTTAGGCAGCCTGACACAACAGCTCTAAGAGGTGTGAATTGCCCCATTCATCTTAAACATCTATAAACACCTCCAGTTCCTTAAATGGAAGCCATGTGAAGTTAGCTCTTTAAATGTGTTTCCCTGTGTCAAAGCCATGTTTGTAGTCTAGGGGGCAGGACTGCCCACATCAGCAGTGAAGCTGAACAGAGCCGTGTGAGTTTCCCTTTATGGATGTTTGGGTAAGCTGTAAGCAGCAGCAACACTGGCAGCTGCCAGCAGGCTCAGGAAAATGACTTATTTGAATTGTGTTTGGAAAGTTTTTCACTGCAATAAAGGCTTTTAGCCTTTACAAAGTAAGAGTTCAGACACTGCACAGATATTAGTGGCTTCAGCTCCCTACTAACTCCAAGATAGTGGCTTTTTCAGGCCTTCTCTGAGCCCATCTAATAGCCCATATACGTTCTGGAGTCAGACTGGAACTCCAAAGGAGGAAGGCCCTGTATCCCATTCCCTGAGCCAGCCAGTTCCCCCTGCACCACTGGCCCCAAAGCAGGAAGGCTGCATCCGCAATTCCCAATTCACAGGCCATCTTATTTGTAATATCAGGGTGACAGAACAGCCTGGGGACCAGCATTGTGGGTTCCCTCTGCTGGTGGCTCCCTGGCCCTGCTGCAGCATAGGGACGCTTGTGTTTGTCTGGGAGGTGGAATCTGAGGGAAACAAAGTGTGACTGGGGGGCTCTTTTTACCCTCAGACATGCCAGGGTTTCAACGGGCAGAAGGCATTGAGGAAGGGGGGGGGGGGAAGAAACCGGGTTTATTGTCCTTGAAAGAAGGAAAGGCATTTCTGGACAATTGTGTCCTGGGGCAAAGTCCACATGGAGAGACAACACAAAGGTTCCTCTCGCTCGGTTCCAGAAATGGCCTGGGAGGCCCCAGCCCACAAAAGGAGCCAGTGAAACTGCCCTGGGGCCCAGATCGCATGGGGAGGTGGCAGCTCCGCAGCAGCGCTTGGGGCCGGCGGGGAGCTATGGGGGGGGGACACAGAGTGGGTGAGGCAGATACTTCACTGGGAGCCGCTGCCGCAGCTCCCGGGCACCACCCTGCAGCTGTTCCGCGTCCGGAGGTAATTGCACAGCTTTCCCCTCTGCTCAAGCCCGAAGCGTTTGGACTCTGGCCCCCTGCTGACCTGGGCTGCGCTTTCTGCAGACCGGCCCACGCCTGGCTTTCACCCTTGCAACGAAGATTCCCTCCTCAGCCAGGCCTGGGCTTTGGGAACCTCCTCTGAACTCACCTTACTTGTTGGGCAGAGCCCTGGCGCTCACACCAGCCAGTCCCCGGCCGCTGCTGTTACTTGCCTTGCTCCCTCTGCAAGGCAGTTCCCTGGACATTTAAATCCTGCAGCAGGAAGCGCAGCAGGCTCCACTTTCTCAGCTGGGTCCCACATTCAGACTGGAACTGGTTTCAGATCTGGAGTGAACCATCTGGAGTGATTGGCTTTGGCTTGTGTGAAGGGGTCTCAGCTCCTCCCCTCCCCACCAGGAAATAGTCCATCCTCAAGTGCTCTTGTATCCAAGATGAAAGGAGTGCAGATTCAGGGGTCACTTCCAAAGCTAAAGTGATAATGGCTATTGTCTCAAGACACTCAGACCAGCAGGACTTCTTAAAGGGCCAGCACCTTCACTGCTCTGCTCTCACACCTTCCAGAACATGAGCAGAAAAACAAGAAGAAACTGGAAAGATCTTGGTTCCAAAACTAAAATATAAAAGCAGAGGAGCCCCGAGGAGGAGCTCTGCCTGTAGCTGGGAGCCATGTGGGAAACTCAACACTGGTAGGGAGCTTGGATACAGACTGATTGGTTTGGACCCCCAACAGCTTCCTCCCCAGCCCCTACAAGAGCTTCCTGCTGCTTCCACAATTACAACAGAAAGAGAATCAAAGGCCCAGGAACATTTTGCCCAAGGATAAACCTTGCATATATATGATTTTTCCTCTTGTTCCATCAAGTCAGAGCAAGAAAATTTGAATGTTTTCTTACTTGGCTTGCTAGCTCTCATCCTTTGGCACCCACTCTCTGGCCTGCCTACTCGTCCCCAGTAGGTCTCCCAGTCTGTTACCTGTCCTAAATATTATGAGAAACAGACACTCTTCCACAAAATACCCTATTGCCATGGGGAAGGTGCACAGGGCTGGGAGCCAGGAGGACCCCCCCCCCCAAAAAAAAGTTCTAGCCATT